TGTAGTTTGGGTCCTCATGAGTTGTCTCATAGCTACTCTTGGTGAATAGGCTATGCAACCCCTGAGTCCTATCAACGGTAAGCTCGGGTAATCCCCACATCTGATGAGGACTGGGTCGGGTCAGAACTAAGGGCAAACCTAGGATAATTGGCTGGCATCCCATTGTTCCAACTCGACCTTCCACTCTAAGGCCATGCGTCGGTGGAGAGGGATTTTGGAGAAGCTTCTCAAAGGGTTGGGGAACATCCCCATGTGACTACAGGTGTAGAAATGTGTGATTCCCCACACAAAAATTAGTGAAGAGCAACATCTAAGTGTTTTTCCTTGCTTCTGGCAGCAGAATTCCACAGAGAGCAAGGTGTCGGCCAGAAGTGAAGGCAGGGGACTCTTCGACTTCACGTCCCAACCGAAGAAGGCGTCCATGGCGGCTTGGTCTATTGTGTCGATGTGGAAGGGGAACAAGATTGTTCTGAATATGATGAAGGCCAGGATTTTGTTAAAAGCTACCCATTCTGCCCTTTTAGCCAAAGAGGACAAATGGTCCTCTAACATTGAGATTTCCAACCCTGGATGTTTCCTTTTTCTATCAGGGTAGTCTGCCAGAATGGTAATCGGATGATGGCAACGACTTGTGCTGCAGAAGATATGCCCCATGGCGAATATGGACCCCGGCTGATTTGGGCCATTTTAGCATAATCTCATACTCCTCCAATGTGGGCACCATATCGAACTGCGGGAATTCAAAGCAGTGCAGACTAGAGTTCCAAAAATGAACTAGAACCCTGATAAAAACGGGATCGACACAGATCTTCAACAGGTCGAGGATCCGTCCATAGGATTTTTCAAAGTCGGAGCGGACCTCTAGTGGCATTATTGTGCAAAGCCGTTCTAGCTTCTCAGTATGGTACCGGAGAATGTCCACTTTCTTCAATTGTCTACTAGTCCCCTCCATTTTCTAAAAACCAAAATGCATGTTTTATGAACGTGATGCTTATTGTGGGTATGAATGTTGTAGACCCCTAATTTTGCCCGGCCTCTCAATAAAGACCAGAAGACTTTCTCTCTAAAGATGAAGCTTCGGTGGACGTCTATCGGCATCAATCGACTTTTGTCTGAAGAAAGGAAAGCTTCTCGAGAGTCCCAGAACACAAAATTTGGCCAAAACACTTGAGACAGTCGTTCCAGACAGGCCAGACGCACGTCCTAGATGTGAGACGCACGTCTCACCCAAAAAAAAAACACTTGGGACGGCCGTCCCAACTTCCAGACGGTCGTCCCAAGCCTTCCAGACCAGGGTCCCTGTTTTCCTAGCTCCAGACGGTCGTCCCGAGTTCGCTAGTTGGAAAAACTATAAATAGGAGCTCATTTGGACGTTTTTAGAGACACCTCACTCCTCTCTTCTCTCCCTCTTTCGAATGATCTCTCTGATTGCCTATAAGGTAACAATCGGTTAAGGAAGTTTCTTCCTGCATTCGATTCTTCTTAGAATTTTGGTAGAGTCGGTCCTGTATTCGGGGAGGAGAGTCCTTGTAGTGCGGGGGATTGCCAAAACGCATCCTCACTTCTCTTCTCTTTTATTGCTTTATTTACTGCTTTATGTATGCAATAGAAAATAGAATCATGTAAATAGCCATTTTTTAATATTGTATAATAAAATAGGGTAATAGTGTAATTTCTCTTAATCTTTACTGTATGAATTAATCCGTCATAGGGAACCCGATAGGGGTGTCGTGGGGGTGCTAACACCTTCCCCACGCATAACTAATTCCCTTACCTAACTCTGGTTATAACGACCAAGTTTGGTTTTTCTTAAAGTCAACGCTTTTTTATCCTTTTCCAATGTCTATGGTCAAAACATTGGTGGCGACTCCATAAGAACCCTTTTAGGAAAACCTTGCTTTTATTAGAGGATAGTTCAGTCGATGAGCACCTCGGGAGCAATGAACACATTTTTAAATAAAATGCGAGTCTAAACCATCTTTTCGTGACCGCTCGCATAAACGTTCGAGATGTCCCTAGACGTCGGAACGGACGGCGGCGACAGATGGCGACTCCACTGGGGAAGCTAGAGAGTTGATCCCATTTAGTGACGAATAAATTCAAACTAAGTAAATATTTGAAATTATGCCTTTACCCTGCTTTGTATGTTTTATTGTATGGCTTTAATAATTGTTGTATGATTATTTTCGGCAAATTGTCTGAAATATAAACTGTACACAAAAACCCTTGCACACTACAGTCCCTCTATACCCGGGGGCAAGAGTGAATACCTATAGGGAGTAGGTGGCAGATACGAACGACTTGTTGGCACACAGGGCTATAACCGTTGTCGGAAAACCACCAACTCAAGGTGATAACTCTCTTCTTTTGGTCCAAGGATGTCGACACGGAGTTCCGTGCATGATCCGAAGACTGAGCGATTGAGAGGTCCATATAATGGGGGCACCTTGGGGACCTTTGGCCTTGGTAAGAACAGTTTAGAACCGCCTTAACCAAGCACGTTTCTGCAAGAAAACCCTACATCGTAATTAAATAAGCGTGGCTCTGCTCGTGGATGAATGAATTGTGTGTGCATTCGTTTGCTGCATTTGTATTTATGCATTAGCATAGGGTAATCATACAACAGACAATAATAACAAAAATAGTAAAATTTCTAGAAAACCATAAAAACGATAAGAATAAACCAACTTTATCTCGGACAGTCTTCATTTAAGCTAGTCTGGTTTCAGGTTCTTTGCAAGCTAAGTAGCCACGTTGACCAACATAAGAGATAAAGGGTTATAAAAAATATAAAAAAAATGTAACCAATAAAAAATACCTCATACAATAAAAATATTCTTGACAAAGTCTTATTATTCATACAACATCTATTCATAAAAATAATAAGAGGAGAAAATAGGACTCTCTTCATCAAAATCCATAAACATCCATATAGATAGTTTCACTACAAGAATTTTACATATTAGCTATGACGCATTCTGTAGTTATTTTATAGTTAATCTCTCGCTGGTATGTTTTGTTACAGATTAGTTACGGAATAGCTATGGAATAGTCTGTCGCTAAATCCAAGTAGCTAATTAGATAGAGATGTATTCTCTCTCAAATTTGTAGTAAATTTTGTCGTCAATCTGTCGCTAAGTCTCTCGCTAATTTAAGTGATGAAATTTTATTTCTCCATAGCTACTTGATCTCCTAAAAGTTGTAGTTAATCCGTAGCTAATCTTTCGCAATTTTTCTCTCGCTAATCCGTAGCTAATCCCTCGCCATTTCTCTCTCGCTAATCCATAGCTAATCCCTCGCAATTTCGCTCTCGCTAATCCCTCACAATTTTTCTCTCACTAATCCGTAGCTAATCCGTCGCAATTTCACTCTCGCTAATTTGTAGTTAATCTCTCGTAATTTTCTATCATTAATTTGTCGCTAATCCGTATCTAATTCATCGCAATATTTCTCTCGCTAATCCATAGCTGATCCCTCGCAATATTTCTATCGCTAATCTATAGCTAATCCTTGACAATTTATCTTTAGCTGATCTGTAGTTAATTCCTCGCAATTATTTTAAATATGGTATGAAAATGGTATTACATAATACTACTAATTGAAATGCTAGATTTTTTAAATGTCTATTTCATGGAACATCAAAAAATAAATGAAAACATGTAATTTGATATGAAACCAGTGACTTGTACTGGCCAAGGTGGATTTTTAGACAAGAAACTTGATGATAGAGGTTTGAAAATTGATGGAGGAATATGAAGTTTTATTGTTTTGATAATAGAGAATGAAAAAACACATTAAATTCATATATGTGAAATTTACAAATTCTGCATAATTTGCAGGTTTAATAAACAAGGGGCTCTCATTTATGGCTATATTGAATGAAGATAACATGTGAAGGTCTTGATAGGGGTGATTCACACGAAGTTCAGTGAATTTATGGAGGATGTATTTATTATGTTGGAAAATGATTGTTTGAATTGAAACTGCGTGTAAAAATATTATTCAAAATAATAAAAATATATGTACACCACAAACTCTCATAAATTTGTAAAAATACATATGATTATGGTAGCAAAATACTCTTCAACTGCTTTTACTTTATTCCTGTTCTTCCTTTTGATTGTTTTGCTAACTGTATTTTTGCTTGTATCAGACTCTGATTGTGATCACTTTGTTCTCTTAATTGAAATCTCCCAGAGCAGACTGTCAAATTAAAAAGCAGAAAATTAATTAACAAGCTAGATTTGTAGAAACTCAAAAAGAATAGAAAATGTTTCAAAGCTAGATATTACGACTCTTCAAGAAAACTATGAACTTACCACATTAAGAAGCCTTAAAGCAGCAGTCCGAGTAAACTTTCTTGCAAAAAGGAAACAAGTTGATGCTTTACCCTTGCTGCTGCACCGTTCTCTTCTGTATTCGGTTTCATAATAAATATTATCTATTTCCTACAAACAAATCATCAAACTTGCATACATTTTCTTTCATGGAAGTAGAGTAAATGCACTTTATATGTTTGTCTCAAACTGAGACTGTTATGTTGATGAGTAAAGCCTCTCTACTTTATAAGTGAACTTTTCTGCCAGGTAGGGCATAAACTTTTTGAGTTTTATTGCACATTCAGCTCATTACCATAACAACTACTGATAAATGGAAAATTGTTCAGTAATATATTGGAAAAGTTTTTTGGTTGTTGCAATTAATTGCAATAAATGCAATGGAGATCTCACATTGATGAACACAAAAATTGATTGCTCGTTTGTAAGGTATTGGTGGCTTCAATTACTAGGAATCAAAAATAATTTTCATTGTTCTTTTTGAGTTGGTGCATATGCTGATATGTTGCAGTATGTTTATTTAATAGTTTGAATTCATATTTAGGCTCCATTACAGAAAAGAAAACATGAAGAAAAGAGAATAAAACATGAATCACCACCATCCATAGAGAGCTTGAGTGTATGTATTCTTGATCCACCTGAAACTCTTTCTTAGAGAGCCTTTCATTTTGCCTTCTGCAACATATATTTTATAGCCAACAACTCTCTTCTTCCTCTGCAACTCAGGGTCAAGCTCCAACTTTTTGATGGTTTAGCAGCTGTCCTTTTCCCTCTCTTCACCTTCACCTCCTTACTAGTGCTACCTATCTGGTGTGCACGGCCAGAAGAAGCATTTTTAGCACTCTGACACCTCAGATCTTGCATGCTTGTTGGGGCCACCTTGCCTCCACCGTTGCTTTCAATATGGAGCATTTCATCTCTGCATGACTTGGATCTGAACTCCATGATCATGCCAACCACAATACCCCGAGAGTAGTAAGAAAGAACAAGTTCAAACAAAAGGGTTGAAGGATTTTCTTTTTTGTAGCCGAATGTTAATATTGTTTATTGCTTCTCTTACTTTAAGTTAAACCAAATTATAGTGTTACTCTTTTACATAACAGTTCAAGTTCATTTAGTTAATTTATCTTTTAAAAAGATTGTGATATTAAATTGAAAACTCTTTCCTTAATTTATATAATAAAATCTTTTGAGAAAATGAGTAGGGTAGGGTAGGACTGATCCAACTATCTTTGCAGAGCAAAGTTGCATGAGGCATTTGGATTCACCACCTTTCACACGTGCAAGTGTTAAAATTAACAGTTAACTGGAGCAAGGAATATATGCTGCTATGCTACCCCATTTTTTAGAAATATAAACTGAAAATCTTTGTTCTTTTCCATCATATAATATTTAAATAACGAAATGACATTTTTTATTACTACCCTCTATGCTTTAGGTACGAAGAAGTTAAAAGAAGAGGAGAATCTCCCATCAAATCTAAACAGAGAGTGAAGATGGTAAATGAATATTCCCTTTAACCCCCCATGCAATAGGAACAATCTGCGAGCAGAAAAAGTGGGATTCACCATTTTCCACTTCTAAGCAAAGAACAAGACTATACACTAGTTCTATAGTCTTAATTCCAGACACGCAAAGGAAACACACCACAGTTCACAAAATCACAAGGAAGCTATACCTATACCTGATAGGTAGATAGGCATAGATAAGGGAAAGATGATTGTATTGTAGTAGCTCCATTATTTGAATGAGTAAGCAGTTACTTACTACAAACAAAATCATCGACTCTTCTCTCTGTAACATATAGATGGTAAGTAATCATACTTCTACTTATCCCGCAATATCCGTTCACGTGCCTGGGTATTGTTTTGGCCTCATACTGAGTTACACTTACAATTTCTCCTTTAAGTTATATAGGGTATCCTTCACAAAACAACTTGTACCCTCGAATTCAGCAGCAGAAACAACAATACTATTGAATTGATTGCATAATAGTTCAAACCTCTGAACATGAGGTTCAAAATGCTGACACCATTGCTCGTTTTTATATAAACATGCTTCCTCTGAATATTTTTTCTCCATCTATCCAACACATATTTACAGGGGACCTCCTTCACTCTCTCTTGTGACAGTACTGCAAGCGAGTGCCTACATAGTATACCTCTGAACTCAAACAAGCGACAATTGCATCTTACATCACAACCTTTCCTGTCTACTTGTATACGCATGACGAATATGTTATTTAACAACTATGAGGTTTCCACCATTTCACTGCAGACTGCAGCATGACTGTAAGGCAAAACCACAACCGAATTCAAAACCTAACCTAAAACATCATGAAAACATGAAGGAGTAAGAATTGCAAACCTCTTGTCAGTGTTTTGACGCTGTTACTGCAGCCGAGTAAGACCACTAGTACCATTCCCATTAAGGCGCTCCTTCACAGACCTCCGCCCTCCATTCTCCACGAGATCAGCGTACATTTTCTGTAATTCACTCGGTTCGAAATCGGAAGAAGAATTATGAACCCTAAATCGAAGAACAGAGACAGAGAGTGTGAAACGGAATGGAAATGATCACGGTTCGCAGAGGAAGAGGCAGGGAACCGCAATGCGGAGATCGTAGCAGAGAATGAAAACCATAACAACCCATTTTCTTCGTCGTGAAAGGGTGTTGAATTTTGAATGGAAAACAATGGCAACAGTTTGTCTTAGGAAATTGGAGTTTAAAGGAAAGGGAAAAGGTTCTGAATAGAAGGATTGGAAGAGTTGAATGATTGTTCCTCTGTGGTGTGTGGTTTTGATTTTGCGAAGAGAAAAAGAGGATAGGAAAACGATTCTTTGACAACTGAAAACAAACATCCGTTCGACAACCGGGGTTAAAAAGAAATTAATTAAAAATAAGGGTTTGATTAGTAAAATTGTAGAGGGGTAGAGATGTAATATTGTAAAAATGGGGGATGTTATTGTAAAAAGTGAAAGATACGTTTGAAGAAAGCTTTTCACATTCGCGCTCTTCCTCGCTGGACTTCTTCTCCCTCGACTTAGGGTAAAATTTCTCCATCTCGCTCTTCACGGTGCTCGACTTCCTGTTGCTTGGCTTCGTCCGTGTCGTTGGAGCTGAACATCACTGTGTGTTGCTTGAGCGACCCTGCGGTGGTGAGTGTTCGTTTAACAACATTTGCTTGATTTTGTGTGTATTTTTTATTGGGTTTCCATTGTTGTTTTCTTTTCTATTTATCTTTGATTGGGTTTGTAATGAAGGTGTTTTTCACGGTTTAGGGTTTATTGAGTTGTGATGCTATATTAATGTTGAACAAGTGTTTGATGAAATGCTATAATGAAGAATTGTATTTGCGCATTCTTGCTTTGTTTTCTGTTTATCTTTGATTGGGTTTGTAATGAAAGTATTCTGGCATTATAGTGATGTTTCATTATAATCCTCAGTCTCTTTGACACTCTTTTTCTTTTGTCGGTGCCAGTCGAGGACAAAGGCAAGAGGTCATGCTCTTCATCAGGTCATATGTCAACCCTGTTGGTGCAAGTGCCACCGGAAAGAAAAGACAGGATGCAATTATGTAGTGTCTTGTGTACAACGAAATGGTGGAACAATTTGTTAACATGAAATTGAAGGATTGTAATAATGAATGACTTGTGAATTTTAATTGTTGTAGACATATAAACATCAATGTAAATTTGACATTATATATTCACAGAATTATATTCACGAGAATTTGACAGAATTATAGAAAACAATTCAAAATTTGACAAATTAATCTAACAAATTATCAGGTTTTTGTGCAAAAAAATATTACATGACTCTCGCTACATCCAAACACACCAATTGAAAAATATTCATGCCAAATTAACAGTTTAATCTACTTCATACAAAAATATTCACACCAATTGAAGGTTTTGTCGCTTAAGCGATGGTTTCGTTTGGTAAAGGTTCAACTGTCGCTCAAGCGATTATATGGTCGCTTGAGCGCGAGGCGACCTAAGATAGCGGTTAGTTAGAACCGCTTTTAAAAATATATATTAGATAGCAGTTGGCAACATAATCGCTATAATAAATGTAGTTCAGATAGCGGTTGGCCAAACAACCGCTATCTAAAGTCATTTATGTCAAACTGATCGATTATAATTGGATAATAATCGATCATAATGTATAGTTCAGATAGCGGTTGACCAAATAACCGCTATCTAAAGTCATATATGTAAAACTGATCGATTATAATTGGATAATAATCGATCATAATTTATATACTGATAAAATTGTTTCATGATTCAATCGATTGAAATACTGCAAAACTTTCTTGTAAAACTTGTCAAATTATTTTAACTGATAAAAATAAGTTTTAATCGATTAAAAATAAGTTTTCTAGTTGTTTTAATCGATTGAAACGAGATTTAATCGATTAAAAGATTTCTGATCGGTCATAATTCAATTCTGATCGATCATATCTTACTCTGATCGGTCATAATTGTATTCTGATCGATCATCCTGAACTCCAAGCCATAGGCTATCCCTTTAACAATATTTATCCTCTTTCTCCAATTCAGCTCTTGAGCTTCCACATCATAAATTCTTACGATGGCGAATTTCTGTCAAGATCTTGGTCTCGTTGCAAAAGCTCTTGTAAAAGGATGGATTTTCAGATTCTGCTTTGTGAAGCTTTTTCAGTGCAACAATTCTGCCACTGGGAAGCACGAAGCGCACCCACTCAGAAGTGACTTCTTCAAGTACCCAAACTGTGACCACGAAGGAGGTCATAGCCCCAAAGGTCCTTGACACCCAATACTTTGTCAATAATGGATTTGACTTCATTAGCAAAATATAACCGATCATATACCACTTATAATCGACCACTTTTCGCTCGAGCGGTCATAAAATCGCTTGAGCGATAAAGAACCCGAGAGTCTCAATTGTTTGAAGGTTGCGTCGCTCGAGCGATAACTTTATCGCTTGAGCGAGTTTATACCCAATGACGAAACGTGAAACGCAGTTAGCCAAATAATTTAAGTTGGTTCACCACATATTAGAATCACTTTTCGCTCAAGCGTTCAAAACGTCGCTTGAGCGAGATAGAACCCGAGAGTCTCCCTTGTTTGAAGGCTGCGTCGCTCGAGCGAAACCTTTATCGCTTGAGCGAGTTTATACCCAATGACGAAACGTCATACGCAGTTAGCCAAATAATTTAAGTTGGTTCACCACATATTAGACTCACTTTTCGCTCAAGCATTCAGAACGTCGCTTGAGCGATATAGAACCCGAGTGTCCCTATTGGTTAAGGTTCCATCGCTCAAGCGATGTCATCCTCGCTTCAGCGACTGGTGAACCACTGATGAAATGTCCTACGCAGTTAGCCATCTAATAAATCTTGGTTCACCACATATCAGATTCAGCTGTCGCTCAGGCGATTACCTAGTCGCTTGAGCGCCTCTGAACGCGACCTTAGATAAGCATATGTTAGATAGCGGTTAAATTTAAACCGCTGTCTAAGCAATGTTAATAATCGAGTATAACCTAAAGTAATCGATCATATTATCTCATTTTTCTAATATCGCTCAAGCGGTGTCATCCTCGCTTGAGCGACTGGTAAACCACATACGAAACGTTCTACACAGTTAGCCATCTAATAAATCTTGGTTCACCACATATAATATTCAACTGTCGCTCAAGCGATTACATATTCGCTTGAGCGAATCTGACTGAGAGTCACGAAGCGACCTTAGATAGCGGTTGATAAGAACCGCTTTTAACAAAATATATTAGATAGCGGTTAAAACTAAACCGCTGTCTAATGTATGTTAATGATCGATTATAACCTAAAATAATCGATCATATGATCTCATTTTTCTACATAGTCGCGTGACCTTAGATAGCGGTTGTTAAGAACCGCTTATAAAAATATATATTAGATAGCGGTTAACAGTAAACCGCTGTCTAACGTATGTTAATGATCGATTAGAACCTAAAATAATCGATCATATTATCTCATTTTTCTAATATCGCTCAAGCGAAATTCACATCGCTTGAGCGACGCCACCTCCTAAGAATGGGGATTCTGGGGTTGTGTTTCGCTTGAGCGAAAATATTCTCGCTCGAGCGACGCCACCTCCTAAGAATGGGGTCACCCATGTTACATTATGCGGCTAACTTTGATCGACGTTTAGCCCAAGGTCAACATTCGCTCAAGCGAAATTTACATCGCTCGAGCGACATCTGGTTCAAACATGATATTTGTCACTTTTAAGAGTTGTAGACATATAAACATTATGTGGTTAATTATGATAGACATTTAGTCATGTTTTACTATTGGCTTAACCATATATCTGCTGACCACCTCAACTTTATGTGCTTAACTGAACATGACATTTTTGTGTTAATTAGGTGCTAAATTTGTATAGCCCACATTATATGCTTAACCACTTGACTATATATCATTAAATGCACATAAACATACATGATCAGTCGAACAACACATCGGAGGAAGATACAATGCTATCACTATGAGATAAAAAGTATGTACAATATAACATTATCACAGGCCACAAAAATTACATCATAAAGGTCTGCATCAAATATAAATTACAATTACAACAAAACCTAACAAAATAATTCATCTACACAACACTTATGTCGCCTTTTTTCTTTTCCTTGAGTTAGTCGTCCACGGTGTTTTGACCATAAAACTTTTATACCTTATTCTTGGATGACCTTTAAGTCGCGTATACATATTTGACCCTTCACAATGCAACTTTGATTCTTCGTTGCTTCAACATGATGCTTCATCTCTTTAATACTACTACCTTCAAATACTGGAGAAAAGTACATCCCACATGATGGAGGATTTACTTCTTCGTTGATAGTTTTGCTTCATCTAACAATTCGTGTAATTGTGTTACATCTTCCTCTAGTTTTTCAATTGTTGATTCCTGTTGTTTGGTTACGGCGATCAACATTTGATTCTCAGCCATAATTCCACACAACATATTAGTCAAATTTTTCACTTCTTCAGATGCATAAGTGGTATGTCCTAATGCTTCTTTCACTATATCATGCGCAAGCTCTTCATTTCTGACGCACAAGTCATGAATAACCTATGAGTAACAAACAATGTCAAATTGAAATCACATTTTGACATATGGTAAAGTAATATTGCAAACAAGTTCTACTAAATTTTTAATGAACTAACCCTATTATGATTAAACGCAACTACAATCTTGCTTTCCCCAATTACAACAGAGGTCCATTGTAAAAATCTCGGAAATCGACTTATCTCATTACATGATTTGGTATTATAAAATACATGCTCCATAACCCATACCCGAATTCATATAAACAAAATGCACAATATCAAATCAGTTGACTATATTGAAAGTATTCTAACAAAACATATATCGTAATTTAAGATTTACCTGTAACAAAAACACACATCCTAGTACACGGAAGTGTGAACAATTTCTTCGTTTCTTCAAAT